CGTTGATTTCCTCAAGACGACGGTGGATATCGCGCCTGGGAGGTGAGTCCTACTTCCACCCGCTGCGGTCTTGATGGTACCATTAATTGTACCCCAGAGCGACGTTGACGAACACACGTTGGAAGAAACTAACGCGCGGCTAGTGTACACGGGGAACTGGACCGTGAGTCCATTCTTGTCATTTATCCATTCCTTCGTTATGCCTGAATGCACGACACAGGAAAATCTTCAACCCGCTCTTCTCCGGCGGCTTCTCGCGCTACACGAACGACAACGCGACCGTCTCGCTCTCATTCCACGGTCCTTTTCCCCTCTGTTTTGCGCCTTCCGCTAACCCCCGCCCTTCAGCCACCGCCCTCTTCATCTTCGGCGACAAAACGGACCGCCACGGGCTCTACACCGTTGCCCTCGACGGCGGCGCCCCGGCACGTTTGACGGCGTCTCGGGCTGCGGCGGCGTGTTCGCGCACGCCTGCGAAAAGGACAACACGCTCAAGTACTTCGCGGGGGGGCTCGATGGCGGCGAGCATAGGGTTACGGTGACGAATTTCCCCGGCGAGCGGGGTCGTATTTCGGTGCGTCCTATTCCTCTTTCTCGAGTTGAGAAAACAAGTTGGCTAATTGCGCGCCCATGTAGATCTGGACGCGATCGTGCTCACCACCTCCTCGTCGTACTTCGGGAGTCCCCCGCGCGTGCATGCGCGGCGCACCTCCGGCGCCCTGCGCGATGCTGAGGTCCCGGGGCTGCATGTTCATTTCCTGCTCGTGCTGTTTCTGTTTGGGCTGTGGATGGTACGACCGGCGAGGCGGTGATTTCCGGCTTCTGGCTCGATTCTGCACGATTGGATTGTATTTTTCTGCGCCGCGGATGGACATAAAATCAATTGTCGCTACCGAGTTTCGGTGCTCAGTTGATGTTATTCTGGCTTTCACACCTCGTTCGCTCCGCGCTCCTGAGCTGCACCCTGCGGCTCACACCGTTCTATTTCTGGCTTGCCCTTATCCAGGTACCAAGGACGCTCTACAAGCCGTCGTCGACCAAAGGCAGGCCACCTTCCTGCCATAGATATGGGAAATCAACCAGAAGGCTGTGGGGGTTCGAATCCCCCCGACGGCATGATATTCCCTGTTCGACCATTTTACTTTGGCCAGTCTAAGTACTCGTCCATGCGATACGCAGGAGGGGGATGTTCCTTTAATTTCCTCGTGAGGGCATAAATTGTGTGTGTGTACCTGGCTTTCCTGATCCTCCCCCCCCATGTTCCTAGCTGAATTGATTACTAGGACTGCGTCCACAGACACCCCGCCGCTGAGCACTGATCTCATTTACAATCCAAGCCATCATCGATCGGTGGGCGGTTCCCCGAATAAAGCACATTGTCAACAAGCTGGACGGAGCTGAGTGAGGTTCGACTCTCCCGACGGCTTGACAGGCGCGGATGTCTTTTCTTTTCTCCTTCACACAATCTCACAGCGCCCATGCACTTATGGCTGAATTTCATCTTCTGCAAGGAGATTCCAGCTTGGCTTTGATTCCAGCCTTCCTTGCGGCTCGCAGCCCCAGCTCAGCTGATCAGGCCGTTGTCCTCCACTTCACGCTCCATTTTCTTCTTATTTAGTGCACCATAATTGAGAGATTTCAAGCTGTCGTCGACCAGCCGCAGGTCCTTCCAAAGAATTTGCGTTTCGGGCCGCGTTCCGGAGGAACCGGGGGTTCGAATCCCCCGGCAGTGGCCTAGGCCATTGAGATTTTTTTTGTCCAATGCCTATATTTCCCCAGATGCTCGCTTGCTGGGGCAGGAACATTCTGGGCCGCTACAAATATTGTTCAACTTGAATCTCAGAAACCTCCGGGAACAGTTGACGATCGGTTTCGTCGTTTATGAAATTTACTCGCCTGGCGACCCACAATTCAAACCGTACAAGGGGTCACAGCTTGCTCCTACATGCGATATCTGACTCATTCGCATTTATCCAAGTCACTTCCAGACGTATCTCAGCGATTGTGATATTAATTGGCGCCACCGGAGATTCGGTTCTATTGATATTCAGCAGCGATTGGTTGTATACTTATATGTCTGGTTCGTGCCATTTTTAGGTGCTCAATCAAGGAACGCTGTGGTTCCGGGATAAGAACCAGGAGCTGGGCTCACTGAATATTTCAACGCCCGTGGTCGTCATACCCATTTCCGATCCCGGGAATCACTGTACGATGCAGCTGCCTGTGGGCACCAATGTTTTCCCCCGCCTTGAGGTCAGAGGGAACCCATCTTATGCAAATCATTGTGTCTCCTGAGTTAAAACTTTTCCAAAATGCTGCCCAGTACCATCTTGATCACCCAATGAAGCGCGGCGGGTGCTATCCTTACCCGGCGAGCTCGAGGTGACGGCAGGAAATCTTCAAAACAAGTTGCAGCATTATAGCATTGGATGGCGGAATCTCGAAGTTGAAGCATCTCCGACGACCAAGAAGGATGGAATCTATCATCTGTATCCCCTGTCCGAGATCTTCCTCTCGACCATCATGCCGTCTTCCGCGCTGAGACCATCATCTTCGCATTGAATGCTACATTCCAAATATATTGACCAATCCTCCCCCGGATATGGAGCACAAAAATAACCGCTTGAAACAGCATCCGACGGCGGTCAAGAGCAGGAACAACTAAATTTATCGTGTGACTAGCCACAGTAATACTTAACACCGACTGTTTCTGTCATCATCATCTTTGTATCTTCACTCCGAGAAGCTTCGTGTAATGGATCCCGTGTCAACGGATCCTCTTGGTATTCCGACCGTCCAGGTGTTAGTGCCACTTTCTTTCTAGGTTTCTCTTTCGTAGCTGATGATAGGTAGGGCCGGACCGGTGGTAACTTTAATTCACCATCCGTGTGTGGCCTGAGTGATGATTGTTACTCCCAGCTTCTAGGCGAGCTGGGGACTTGGGGACTCTTTGGTGTCCTGTCCGTTCAAGTCTGTGAGCCATATTAAACTCATTCCCTCAGCTCTCTCCTGAATAGTGTTTCAGATCTTTATTACCAGGCTTTCCCAAATGATAAGCTGTCCACCAAGGCCTGGTTTATCTCGTATACGCCATCGAATTAGTCGATACGATTTTGATGACGCATGGCGCATTCTCCGCATTCGGCTATGGGGTTGGCAACTTCACGGCCCTCACGAATATCGATTTCGACTGGCTGAGTATTCCCATCATGGGTGCAATTGGTGATTCAAGTTCAAATTGACCCGGTCAACATTAACATTGTCTCCGCCCATAGTTTCTTTCATTGGCCAATCATTCTACGCATATCGTGTTTATGTGTTATCGAAATCGTGGTTCGTCGTTGGGTTGATACTAGCAGTAAGGTTTTCGCCATTCCGTGCATGGTCGGATTTCTTTTTAATGGAACGCAGATTTCCCTAACCAGCAGCATCGCTGGGTTCGTGACCGGCGCGTTTAGCTTCGAAGGTGATTTTCGTTTGTTCCTCGAAGATCATTTTTTTTTTACTCACCCATCTGAAGCCGGCAATATAGCTCTCGTGGATACCAGAAAGATGTCTGCGGCCCTTGGGGTGCGTGCAAACACGAGGCTCTGACCTTTACTCAACTAAATAATAGACGTGGTGTGGAGCCTCAGCATTGAGCGATATCATCATTGCGATTTGCATGACATACTATGTGAGTCCTGCCCCTCGACGTTTGAGGTTGTCCGATCTGGGTTCAAGCTAGCCAAAAATACCACGGAGTTTCCCCGTACCCGGGCCCTGATTTCAAGATTGATGCGATTGACGATTGAGACAGGATCGCTAACAGGCATGTAGTGTTGGGTTAATGTCCTCGATTGCAGTAATCAACTAATTGCACGCAGCTTTGGTAGCGGTGACGAATCTTGTCCTTTTTCTCGCCTTTCCAGACCGGTCATACTACGCAACGGGGTCCTATCTTATGCCCAAGTTGTACGGCAACTGCATCCTTGTGGTTCTGAATGGGCGGTGTCAGATCGTAGGCGGTCGGACGACTTATACGTCCACCGCCGACCATATATCAACCCCCACCTATCTCCGCACGACGGGGACGAACTTCGTCACAATCAGTCGGGAGTTTTTGTCGGACGCCAGGGTGCAGGATGAAATTGAAATGAGAAGCACCGGGGTGTGTGGTTTGGGATGCTTGCTACACCCATGAACACTGACCGTTCAACAGGCCTCCGACCTTGGCAGCCGCGTTTGATTGAATAAATAGTTATTGATGTGCCCCCGCGCCCTCCTCAGAATATTTCTATAAGTATCGTCTGCTTATCTTTTTCTTTTTCAAACTCGGTTGAAGAGCCGAAGCGAATCTCGGCGCTGACGGCGGGTGGTTCGGATCAGTTCCATCGGTCCCGGGATCGCAAGCCGGGACGGCATTGCGAAACCTGACATCACTGAGTTTGAAATCTAAAAAGCAACACTATCGTTCAAATCCCCAGCTCCGCTGACCAACCTACCCTCATTTCAGTTTATAAGGACTTAAGCCGTCGTCGACAATCGCTAGGGTCCCCTCTAAACAATTCGGCGGTATCCCGTATGAGAAGAGGGGCCCAGATCCCCCCGACGCAGGAGGTGAATGAAATGGCCACCTTTTTATCTCACTTCCCTCCTCATGTGCATGCTAACTTGTAGAGGGACTCGCACAGCGAAATCAGCCGTCGTGGACTAATGCAGGTCACCCTCCTAAGCTGGACAATCATAATTGTGTATTAACCAGCGCCGAGGGAGACGGAGGTTCGAATCCTCCCGGCGGCATATGGGCTCGCGTAGTATTTCCTTTTTCCTCCCCCCGCCCCGTTCAATGAGGCACTCTGTCAAGCGTGTGCATCCCAAGCAGAAATCTAGCACTGCACATACTTACTTCCCTTGAGGCCGTGATATCCCGCAATACTGGAAAAATGCATTCCGGTTAATTGACTGACCCCGCACGCCCTAAGTCTCTCACTTACCCAACCACAAGTTACCGCATCCAAGCCGCCGTCGACCAGTGGCTGGTCACCTCCAAAATGTACGCTGTTTCCCTGTTACTAGGGGGCACGGGGGTTCGAATCCCCCCGGCGGCATGCGGTTCTGTCAGCGGATTATTCTATTTTTCCTCCCCGTCCAATCAGCGGACTGCGTCAAGCGCGCGCATCCCAGGCAGAAATCTAGCAGTGCCTCGAGACATTTCGATTCAACACTTATCAACCATCATCCCACACTAGGTGGCACTAGGTGGATTGACTGACCCCGCACGCCCGAAGTGTCCCACGTACCCAACCGCATGTTACCGCATCCAAGCCGTCGTCGACCAGTGGCTGGTCACCTCCAAAACCAACTGCCACTGAAAAGGGAATATAATGCTGCCCTTTGAAGGATTCGAACCGGCGGTGATCTAGCTTGCTTGCGCATGTTTCCCTGCAGCCCTCGCCACCTCATCATCGCCCGACGTCATGGAGTCAACATGGCGTCCACTCCACACCAACCGCGCGTATAAATGCCCCATCTGCATTACTATCTCTCCCACCGCGTTTCACTCGACCTTTGTTTGAACCACAACACCAACCACAATGACGACCATGCACGCCTCCCCACCGCCCAACCTCGTCCCCGCGATCCCCTCCGCCGCGCTCCCGCAGACGCCCGCCTCCGACTGGGCGGACGACATGCACGACACGCTCGGCGCGCACGTCACCCGCACGCCCGTCGGGACGCCCGGCCCCGACGTCCCGGGCGCGTTCCCCGATGCGCTGCCGTCGAGAAGAACTACGGCGACGCAGCGAAGGAGGAGACGCTCCTCGAGAGCGCGAAGGCGTACCTCCCCGCGCAGGAGGACGTTGCGCGCGCGCTGTCGAATGCCAAGGCGTACCTCCCGCAGGGCGTCGCGGCATATTTCCGTGCGTTCCCTCCCATTTTAATGCATGTCTGTTGTACTCATATCTTTGTCTTTTTTTCCACAGCTGGAACAGACTCCACCTCCACCTCCACCTCCGCACCCGCCCCGCAGTCCGTCGACGTCGGCCACGGCGCCACCGTCCCTTACACCGAATCTGCACCAGAACCGTACTCCGAGCGCCCGCCCTCCCCGCGCAGCACAACCAACTCCTCCACGGCCGTCGACGTCGGGCATGGCGCGTCCGTCCCGTACACCGCATCCGCGCCGGAACCCTACGCCGCGCCCGCGCCCCCGCCCCTGAGCGCAGCCAACTCCTCCACCGCCGTCGACGTCGGGCACGGCGCGTCCGTCCCGTACACAGCATCCGCGCCGGAACCCTACGCCGCGCCCCCGCCCCCGCCCCTGAGCGCAGCCAACTCCTCCACCGCCGTCGACGTCGGGCACGGCGCGTCCGTCCCGTACACAGCATCCGCGCCGGAACCCTACGCCGCGCCCCCGCCCCCGCCCCTGAGCGCAGCCAACTCCTCCACCGCCGTCGACGTCGGGCACGGTGCGTCCGTCCCGTACACCGAATCCGCGCCCGCGCCGTACGCGCCCGCGGTCGCTACGCCGACCTCCACGCGCGACGAGAGCACCATGGTGCACACGGGGCACTCCTCCTCCGCGGTCCCGCCCGCCGCCCCGCGCGCGACGTCCGGCCTGCTCCCCTCGCACCCCGCCGTCGCCGTCGATGCCGGCGCCGCGCCGCTCGTGCAGTCCCCGGGCGCGCTGACGCCGCACGGCTGCACAGACCTCGCGCTCGCGGCGCAGACCAGCCTGCCCCCGTCCTACGCGCCGTCGACGCCGTCGCTCGTGTCCGGCGGCGCGAGCGGGTACACCGCGTCGAGCGAGAGCGGGCTCGTGCAGACGCCGTTGTCCATGTCTACTGAACCCTCCACCGACTCGCACGCGCACGCGCCCACGTCCTTCAGCTCGCACTTCAGCTCGCAGAGCCAGAGCGAGGGCCCGCACGCGCCGCAGAACTCCGTCGCTACGCCGCAACCTTCCGCCGCCACGCCGGGCGCGGCCGTCACGGGCTCCGCCGCGCTCAACTCGTCCGACCCCAAGGACCTCTTCCCCGCGGACACGCCCGCGGCGTTCATCGCCGCGCAGAGCCAGCGCTCCGCATCCGCCTCCGCATCCGCCTCCGCGAACACGAACGCGAACGCGGACCCAGCCATCACGGGCTCCGCCGCGCTCAACTCGTCCGACCCCAAGGACCTCTTCCCCGCGGACACGCCCGCGGCGTACATCGGCGCGCACGCGGAGCGCAACCCGAACGACGTGTTCCCCTCGCACGGGGACGCGCCGAGCTTCGGCGCGCCCGGGTCGGCCGCGCTCAACTCGTCCGCGCCGCAGGATCTGCTGCCGTCGGGCGCCGCGCCGGTCCCTCATTCGACGTCGGATTCGTCGCTCGACGCGGACGCGGACGGGGACGCAGACGAGGATACGAGCGACGCCGGTGCTGACAAGGGCGAAAACGAAAAGGGCGGGAAGAAGGGGAAGAAGCCGAAGCTGCTGCAGCGGCTCAAGGAGAAGATGCACGTCGGCGGCGGCTCGTCGTAAATTTCGTGCATTACCCTAGATTTATCCAGACTCGCGACTCGCAACAATTCAATGTATCGTGTATCTTGTATCTGTACTGTAATCGACGGCTTAATCGACTGTGCATTTCGTACCGCCTGAGGCTGCTAATGGAAGTTGAACGGACACTCACCAAAAAATCTTGGCGTCAGGTCCATGCCGCCGGGGGCAGTCGAACCCCCGTTTCCTCCTGCAACTTGGCGCCTTGTAGGCGGCGAGCTTTGGGTAAGTGCGTGGATATTGCGTGGCTTTCGGGGAGGCCTGCGCTGACGCGAGCCGAGTTGAAGATTCTATGGATACTGTCACGGTTGCTCAAGGATGCGCGCACTTGCGCTTGTCCTAAGAGTCTGGAAGTTGGCCATGGGGAAGCACATGTACATGAAAAAAGTGTCCCAGTAAAAGCGACTGCATGCCGTCGGGGGGGGGGGGGGGGGGAGTCGAACCCCCCGTTTCCACCCGACTCATTAAGATCGTTCACGGTTCCCTTATTCTTTCCCTCTTTCACTCCCTTTTTCCTTCCCTTTTCTGTGTTTGCTCCCTCTTTCTACTGAACATGACAGAACTTGAGAAGCAGCTTATTGCTTGGAGTCCCATAGTCATGCCTTAGTCCCCCATTAGATGCCTATTAATATTGGTTCAACCTGAGCTTTCCATATATCTGCAATCTAGTCTACATGGAATGAAGAAAAGGAGAGAAAAAAGGGAGTCCCGGACCAGGATGTTCACAGTTCTCTTTTTCCGTCCCTTTTTTCTGCAGTTTCATCCTGTTTAAACTTTTGCTCAGTTTTTTTTCCCCCCCTTTTCCCCCCTTTTTACACCTCCGAATTGAAAAGGGAAAAAATCCCGTCCAAAAACCGAGCCAAACTCGAGATCCAGGAAAAAAGGGAGGAAAAAAGGGAAGAAAAAAGGGAACTGTGAACGACCCTATTACATACTATCCACCGATACATTTTGGAGGGGACCTGCCCCTGGTCGACGACGGCTTGGGGGGTGTGATTCGCGCTTGGGTAAGCGCGGATACATAAATTTCAGGGAGGGTGGCGTTGACGCGAGGTCCGGAAGGCTGAGTTGAGATTCGATAGATGTCAGGGTACTCAAGGCCGCATAGCATATGCGCACTTGCGCTTGTATTCAGAGTCCAGTGGGACGTTGAGGCAAGGATATAAAAACGACGGCTACGCGAATGCCGTCGGGGGGAGTCGAACGCCGACCCGAACCCCCGTTTTCTCCTGGCTTACCACATCTATCGATACATTTTACGAGGCGCCGCGGAGCGGCGTCGTCTGGACGCATCTGCTGGTCGCAGATAAGGTGTCCATCCTGGCTGTCACCCCTGAGACACTGGAAACACCGTGCTCGCGAAGAGCGTGAAACAGGTCGCGCAGGCGCTGTGACGGGCTGAGGGGCACAGGCCCGAGGCCGTAAAATCGCGCGCTCCCCGCATAATCCGGGGTGGAGCTAAGAGAGGTTGTGTGCGGTGCCTATCAAGGCGTACCAATTCATTCGCTTTCGTCCGTCTATCAATCCATTCATTCACTGGCATCTGTTCGTCTAGCTATTCATCCATCAATGACTTCTTGAGCTACCGCAATGTCATCTTGGCGTTCGGGAATTTTCCCCCGGGGTAAGGCTGAGAGAGGTTGTGTGTTGTGCGTACCAAGGCCTACCAACTCATTCGCTTTAGTCCGTCTATTGACCCATTTGTTCATTCGTTTGTCCATCCATATATTCATTCATTGATGATGTCATCTTGGTGTTCCTGAAATATCCCCCTGTCATCGGGAACCCCTCGAACGAGTTCTCCGTCCTTCTTCTGCTGCGCGGAATTCTCCGCGTTCGATAGGCAGTGCATGTACGTACGCCGCCGTGTCCGGCTCGAGGGGACGACGGTACCCTATTCAGGACGCGGACGCGAGACCTGTCTCGGCAAAAACAAACCTGACATTGTTGCGCTGCTTTTTCGCTGCTTTTATGGACGTGTTTCGAGGGTCGTTTTGGGCTTCCCCGTTGATTTGATTTCGGGCTTCGCCGTCGCCGCGAGCGAGCCGGCGAGACGCCGTGTATTCATTCCACTTTACCTCATTCGCCGGGGGTTCCCGAGCGAAACGAGGACCGAGCGAGTCGCGGAACGAAAAAAAAATTGGCAAGTTGAAAAAAAAAGGTTGGGATCCCGGTGGCCGCTTCGTTCGCTGAACGAAAAATAAAAATAAAATGGCAAGCTAAAAGAAAAAAGCCGGGATCCCAGTGGCCGATCCGTGGACGTGGGGATGGAAGTTGGCGTGGACCTACACAGCGGCCCGGGTTCGAATCTATCGTTTCCCGGGTCCTCCTCGTCTCAACTGCGATGCTGCACAGGACACGACTCAGGGAAACTCAGGCTGACGCAGACGGGGAACTTGGGCATCCGGAAGGGTACATACTGGTGACGATCCGCGCACATCCCCGGCCCGCTACTAAATACTGTACTAATCCGATCAAGTGTTCACAGCCGCAAGTGTTCATTGGATCAAATGTTCATTCTGAGAAATACCATCAATACCTCCCTATATGGAAGTCCGGCGAGTG